AATGCAAGCAAGAACATCGTGCACACAGACCCCGGCAGTACCTTTCGGCACTCTCCAGATAGCAGAGCCAATTTGCCGGACAAACAAGCTTGTATCACATCCCTACAGTTTAATAATGGTACAGCAGGGAGAGCCTGGGGAGGAAAGGACTTACTTAGCCTACAGGCACTGACGTTCTGGATGCCAGACTGCATGCAAGGGCAGAAGCCTTCGTTGGGCGGATAGTCCGTGCCATTGGCAAAGAGAGTTTTTGGTGCCACGAAGCGGTAAGTGGGCACACCTTTGAACTTCCCGGACTGCTCGTACACCAGTGTCATGGATCTGGAAGGGTTTCGGTTGAGAAGGATCAGGATTAGCCAACAGGTTCCTAGCCCCGAACCAGGCTCTTATCTTCGCTGGATAAGATGCAGTTGCAATGTAACTTAGACTTTGAGATCAAGATAAACACTCAGAGCAGTGCTTTGGATGTGGAATGAGTATTTAAGCCATTTGCTCTCCCTGTTCTAAGCACAGATAAAGGCCTGGTCAGGACTAGTTACGGAGAGAAACCACAGGCTTAAGTCTGTTTGCGGTATCCAGATGAGATTTGTTTAAAGGCATCCCCAGGGCTGCTCTCCAAGAGATAGTACCCTCTTTGTGCAAGCCTTGGCTCTGAGGCAGAAGTGCTCTTTCGCAGCACAACTCCAGCATATAGGCTGTCAGGGGAGTAGAAAATTTTACTACATTATGCAGCAAGATTTTTTTCCTTGATGCAACAGGCTATATTCTGCGGCATTATTGTTACCAGCTGGCCAGGATAGATACAAGTTTCCAGGAGGGAAGTTTGCTCCCTTCACACTCAAGTGAGGTTTGCAGGGATGCAGACAGCCTGGGCAGGCCAAGGGGATGCTTGTTCCTACAGCTGCCTTGTGACACCAAGACCAAGGATGGGGGATTCAGGGCATGTTCAGCAATTACATGCATGCCTCTTGGCTGTGCTCACCTTCCAGCAAGGAGGCAGAGGCTGCTGCAGCACATCAGCAAGATAAAGCCTTGCCTACCTTGCGGGGACGTCCACGTAGTTGCATCTTGGCATCAACTGCACCTAATGTGCAAACAGCATAGGAGATGAGCCCTGCATGCCCTGCAGCAAGGCAGATACGCTCTTAGTCTATCAACTGATGTTTGTGACTCCTTGCTAGCCATCCAGGCTAGCAGAGAGGCTGAGATAAAGATTTGGGGAGAAGAGACAGCACCGCCTGGTGAAGAGGTAGAGCCACATCCTCCACAGCACTGTTCTGCAGGAACCTCCTGTGCTAGCAAGAAACCAAGCCTGGTTTCCTCTGCTTCACTTCATGCCTTGCCTGGAAACATGCTCTGTTCCCTGGAAGACTTCTGTAGTTTTACAGAAACTACACAGAAACTGTGTATTTAAACTTTGATTCCCAGCAAACTCCCTTGTAAGTCCTTGGCTCTGGGTCACTTCGATATTTGCTGATGTCCCTTATGTAGAGGAATTCCTGCACTAATACTCAGCTCAGCTGACTTTGCTCGTTCTGCTGAAGAGGTCATTGCTCTCTATTCAGCATGAGCACTTGCTTGTTTTGCAGCACTATCTACAAAGTGCTGAATCAACATTATCTTCCCCAAGCTGGGGACAGGGTTTTGTGCCACCCCTGGCCTCCCCTCCTTCCAGCCTCAGGGAGTTTCCGCGCAGGCAGGCTCTGCAGGGTACTTTAACCCCTGCGTGATCGGTTAAGGTCAGGGTGCCTTATACAGGACAGACACGCACAGCAGTGCATGAAGCAGGCAGCAAAAAAACGGGAAGCAGCCTGGAAGTGGTGGCACAAGCCCCCACACCACCACTTCTGCAAGCATTTAGTCAGCTGAAATGGTTCTGCAAATGGCTATAGCAGCGTTTCCTTACGACAACTCCTACTTCTCCCTCTCGCCTCCCACATCCTATCTAGACTGGTTATTCTCTACTGATTCAACATGGGCAAGTTAGACATCTCCAGTGACCTGGAAGGTATTTATGAACACACCACAAGATGCTGCTCATTAGACAACTACACTGTTTGCAAACTGAATTGCAGCTGAACTTTAACTGCAGAACTTAGTCCTGAGCCCTCTGCGTCACCGCACAGGTACACTGTGCACACAGGACAAACGTTGCATCTCCTGCCACCTGCACAGGGACAAGCTGGCAGCTGTGGCCTCACCTGCAGGCATCAGGGCTGTAGAACTCCAATGACGTTGGGGACATGAACGGAGGCCACATCTCCCCTGCAGTCCCGTTGATCATGTTGCACTCGCTGCTCCGCCAGTACTTCAGCTGCAGGACAGATGCAGAGAGAAGACCTCAGATCAACAACCTTGCTGGAGAGATGGCTTCCACCCCTGCATGGGACATCCACCGCTTTACACTGCTTCCATAGGAGCTTGAGATAGCAACGCTGAAGAGCTTCCAAGATCTTTCCCATTCAAACATCTGCCCAATTAATGGAAAAACAGGACAAGATACTCCTGTCCCAAGTGCTCCTGCAGTGGTTGATCTGTAGATTCAGTTGACTTTAGGTAGGAATGGAATTCCACAAGGGAAGAATAAGCACCCCTTTAACAAGGACATTGAAATAACGCCTCAAACACAGGAGCCTGGGACTTCAACCATTAGAAGCAAGCAGCGCCATCAGCATTGCAAGGGAGTCCAAGTGACACTGACGATGAGCTGAACTTAATGCTTCATAACAAGCCTCTTGTCATAGGGCTGCCTTCTGGCAATTTGATAGAACAGAAGCTGCAGCATTTGAAGTCCCACAGAAACTTGCCTTCAAACCTACAACCCAGAGATACAACAGCACTGAGAGCTTTCAGTTTATCTCACTTTAGATCAGGCATTGACCCCATATTAGAGGTTTGCTGCCTGACACTTACCTCCTTTAGTCCATTCCATGAATCCACCATGTGAACTCTACTGATGTTCTTCATGCCCGTGTTCACTGTGAACAGTCCTGAACTGGAGCTGTTAAGCTGCAGAGAGAAGAAACTAACTTTTAATCCATTATACACAGCAAGACTGCAATGTGTTAATGACTTTGTATACTTTTGTCAGCTCTAGGGGTGCTTCACACTGGAAGCTACTGAACTTTTACCTATTTCAGAGTCCAGCAACAGCTTCCAACATGTGTTCCTGCTTGAGGGGAGAATTAAGGCAGCCTTACACAACCACCACCAGCTACATATGGGTGCTCCAAACAGTTTGAGGGGGATAGCCCAGACACTCAATCCCAAGACCAATATTGCTGTGGTTTTAGTGTTCCCAAGCAACAGTTTACTTACATCTATAAATAAGCCAAATTTCCCCTGGAAAGGGATCAGGCCAGGAACAAGCGCGTTTATTGCATCTATAAGAGGGTCGTCATACCCCCACAAGATCTCCCCCACTGTTCGGTTCATGAATGCCTCCTGTTTCAGGCCAGCCAGGGCTCCACTCAGTAAAAGCTTCACAAAGCTTGGCAGTTTTTCCATCATTACAGCCGCTCCCTGGGAAAGAAAACAAACCTCTGAGATGAGAGCCCCATCTTTACCGAAGAGGAAGCAATGCATCTTCAGTGCTTAGCAAGGTCCCTCCACTGCACCAATCTACAGCCCTAGAGAAATCTTTTGGGCAAACTGAGGTTCACCATTTATCCCCAGTTTGGGAAGAAAGCAGTTGAGGGCTTACAGGCTTCATTTCCCCAGAGGACACTCAGACAAGGTTGCAGACTTGAGCCCAGCCGCTTTGCCAGCCCCTCTGTACTTTGGAAGGGTAACAGCCCAACAGGACAACCAACACCCGGAAAGCAGAAAACTGCATTTTATAAGCTTAAATCACCTCATGGCTTGATTAGCCTTAAGGCCTACAAGAAAGTAAGCTTTGGGTCAGCACTGGACATCATCGCCCTCCCCACAAGCTCAGAAGTTGGTACCCATCCAGGGAGTAAGTTCTTACCATCATCAAAATGTTTGGCACAACAATGTACTCTTCTTCGCTGCCGTTGGACAGTTCGGGCTGAAAGAAGAGCTTCCGATACCCCAGGAAGGAGACTGTGTCATTGTCATGGAATGTGATATTTGTTTTATACCTGAACTCTCTGCAAAGAGATGGGAGAGACCATGGGAACCTTCCCACACACAGTGTCCCTGCAAGGCATGTGGAGCAAGGATGGGCTGCACAGGCCCAGGCTTGCTTCTGAAGAGCAAGAACCCCAGCAAGAAGCCATGGGACAGCAGGGGAGGCAGCATGCCAGGGAACAGGCAGTGTCAACCTCACACCCCGACCAGGACTAGGGTCTAGCAGGAGGAGATGGCAGCCTGGGAGCGAGGCATCCCTGACAGATGGGATTCTGCAGCAACTTGCAGACACCAAGCATTTCTTCCCAGCTGATGAGAAGTCTGAGACAAAAGCATAAATCCCCTCTGTCACTCCACCTACAGCCATTGAAAAGCCCAGCCCTATCAGGAAGACACCCAGATAAGCAGATCTACACCAACCCACATGCCAAAACAAACGGCAAAACAGAAGAGGACCAAACAAGATGGTGCAAGCCTCACCAACAAGCCCACACTGATTTGCCCCAGAGCTCCCCAACAGTTCCCAGGGTCAGGGCAGCTCAGCCCTCCATGCAGCATCGTGGTTCTCCTGCTCCTCAGGGCTTCGGGCATGCCATCTCCTGCACACTGCCCAGCACCACTCTGCTCCGTACCACAGGGGCAATGCTCCACAGCAGCATGAAGTTGTCCCCAGCATCGCAAGCCTGTTACAGCTCCTGAGAAAGCTGAAGCTCAAACCAGCAGCAAAAACAAAGTCCTTTCTTGTGGAGCCTCTGTTTTATGGCCCACATTAGGGAAGGGCACCAATCTTGCTCAGCAGGACCACAAGGACCAAACACAAGGACACTAATAAGCTTTACCGCTTTGTTTATTCTTATTTATGGTAAGTGAAGCCTTTTTGCCAAGCCAAGTGACTGATGCAATCAGAACACACAGAATCCACATGGTCTTATGGCGTGACCTGGCAAGCGCAGGGGAAACAAGGGCATACACATACTGCCAGGTTTCCTCCTAACGCTACTCAAACAGCTTTGGATTAAACCAGTAATCTTCCCACATGAGCTTGCTTAGGCTGCTGACCTAACTTTGTCTACATGTGTAGGCACTAATGTGTTGAATATTGCTATTTACAGGTAAGTTCACACACTCAACATCAACCATCACTTCACGCTTCAGGTCCAGAGAAGCATCTGGGGCTTCAACCACCATCCTCAGCCATGGTCAATAGACCCAGCCCTGCCATAGGTGGGCCTGAGCAAGTTTTAGTGCTCCACACTGGTTCTCATCACCAGAGCATTCATGTTAGGCAGATTCTGGGTCTCATGTTAGATAAGAGGTATTATCCAATCCATGAAGTTTGATATTGAGGTGACTCCAGCTCTAGAGCTGGACTCTTAAACGCGCAGTGAAGATGAAACAAGTCCACTCTGAAGATGAGGGTTGCCACCCAGCACCACACCACCACCCCTCATGCTTATGTTTGGACCATATCAGCGCAGGTCTGGCTTCCCAGCAGGTCCCAGCACAGGACTGAGCTCCACAACTCAGAGAAGCACAGACCAGCCTTACCGCCCCAGCAGCCAGAGGTCCTACTTGTGGCTTTAGCAAGATCAAAGCAATTAGAGCACATTTGGGTCGCTTTAAAATCCTGTGCCACTGGACTCACACCAAGTGTGCTAATGCCATGCCTCCCGCCAGAGGAGTCAGCCAGAAGCAGTACCTGGACCACAAGCAGTACCTGACCTGTAAACGTAGGGTCCACGCTGGTTCAGCACTGGCTTCTGTCCCTGGAGGACCTCCTTGGGGTTCAGCACTTCAAAGAAGTGCACTGACATGTAGAAAGGAACGGGAATGTCTTTCCACATCCTGAAGGAGATGCTGCTGGGGTCAATCCTGACATTCTGCAAAAAAGGAGAGGGGAAAAAAAAAAAAAAAAAAAAAAGAGTAAGGAGACAACTCATCAGCGTCGTGGCTGCAGCTGAGCACATCCACCCTTGGCTCCATGTCAGACCCAGCCAAAGGAAGCCTGAACTGGAACTTCCAGCAGGGGCTCTCCAGAAGATCCAGGTGTGTTACACAGACTGAAACCAAGCCGCATCTAAATCGGGAACTATTATGTATGCAGAAGCATAAAGTTTTAACACAGGACATCTGTAGGCTTATTTATTCAGGCTCAACTTTCCAGATGCTACCCACAGGATTTTGGAGCTGTTCTGATGTGCTGCAAGCTTGCTCTGGGCTAGACAAGCCAGCACTGAATTATTCACAGCTCTGCATGTGTGACTTGCCAGAAGCAGGCAAGGGCTGTGAGAGGTAGCACACCCATCCGCACCACTGTTTGGGTACCAGCAGGGAGGGCCTGCTAAATTCCCCAAACGCACATAGGGAACCGGGATGGCAACCCAGCTGTGTCCCGACAGCGCTGTGCAGGACACCTTTGCCTCCTCTCAGCTGCCATCCTGCAGTGACTCATAGTTGGTCATAAGGCAGGTGAAAGGCAATGCACAATTGTGGTTTCCATATCACCGTCCTGTTTGCTGGGAAACGCTTGCAGGAGCCCAGGTAAGCCCTCACCAGATACTCATCTCCACTCCCTCCCTGCCTCCCAGGGACTGCCTTATGGACAAGAGCCTGTTCCTTCTTAAGCAGCTATTTTGCATGTGTTCCACCACAATCTTTGCTTCCTCTGCAAGCACAGGCCCTTGCCATGGTTAGATAACCGAGCCAGCTTATGGAAGCGGGTCTGACTCACCAATTAGTGCAGGCAAGTAGGCATTATCCCGCTGCAGCTTGGCAGCCCCACAATGGCTTTCCTGTCCTGGAGCAGCTCGATCTGACTGCGCACGTATTTGATGCCACAGAGGGTTGAGAAGAAAAGCTGCCAGAGGCTTCCCTGCAATGCCCCACCTTTGCAAGCCCCTTGCTCAAGCCCAGATCCTCCAAGCCCTACACCTGAGCAGACATCTTCATCACATAGTGTAACCCACCTAGCAAACCATTCCCACCTCCACGTCAACACCCACCTGCTGCTGGCCGAGAGCCTCCATCCTGCCAGCCTCAAGGATTTCATGGCAAGGAAGCAGTTAGAGGACATGATTTTATCTAGCCTGCTTTCTAATCCCCGCTCCTGAGTGTCCAAGAGAGTCTGAATAGCAACATCTGCCTTCCTTTACTTGCTTAGTCTGTCTTGCACACCCTAGATCCCTTATTCCATATGCATTTATTTATATAATGTGTACACAGTCAGATGGAGCTGCATCCCAGCTCCCTGCTACCTTTCTCAGCCCTCTCCCATCTGGGCACAACAGCTCGAGGTATTCCAGAGATGCTGCTAAGCAAGATCTACTTAGATCTTAGGGCAGCCTTAGAATTAAGCCACTTGTAGGTCAAAACAAACATGGTCATATGTCTGAAATAAAAATAGGATATTCTTCACTTAGATGGGTTACAAAGTGTCACTGAGAGGTCTGACTCTTCCTGACCACACTGATCTCTGCTCCTGAGGAACTGAAAGGAACTGGTTACTGCTCATCTCCTCCAGACAGGACCGGAGGAGCAGCAGCTCCATTGACAGTGCCCAAAGCCTGCTTCTCCAGGAGGGGGGCTTCAGCCACCCTGCTCAGCAAAACCAAGAGCTGAGGTTTCTTCTACAGATTGAGAGGAGCAGTAACGTTGTGTGCAAGCACAACCTCAGTGTCAGACCTCATCCTCCACATCCTCTTCTCACCACCATCCTCATCACCCTGCTAAAACAGCAAGGACGATGCTGTCGGTCTTCTGCCAGCTTTCAGGTGGGACAGCACAAGAGCTGGAGAAGAAACAGTAAGTAGCAGATGGATGAGTCGATGCAGTCTCACCGTGGCAAAGCTCATATCTTAGGCAGGTCTGTGGCACTCCAGGTGCTCCCAGAAGAGCAACGTCCCTGGGTTTTACAGGGCCAATGCCACAGCCCTGGACAGCAGCCAATGCAGATTCGGTTTCTGCAAATGGGGCAGGAGCTGGGCTCCGAGTTCCCTGTTTCTACTGTGCATTCCCCTACAGACTTTACTCAAAGATATCCCCACAATTACAACCTTTTTTTGCAACTAAGTGCTTCTCCATCAGGATACACTGTCTTGCCCTTCCATGCAGGCCTTGGGAAGCCAGGACTGGCAAGCCAGCCTTCACCTGCCCAGCCCCTGCCAGCAGCCCTTCAAGTCCCAGCTCTTCCTCCTACCCACCACTCTGAAGACCAACCCAGGAGTTTCAGTAAGGCCCTGGATATTTCTCACCACCCTAGACATCAGCACTGTTATTTTTTTCTATTTCACATTAAGCCTCATAAGAAGTCAGGACCATTTGGGTCATGCTGAAGAAATGAAGACCAAGGGCTTGAGATGATGGGAGACCTGAGGAGAAACAAAGGTTGGTCTTTTCCTCATCTTCTGTTCTCACTGCAAGTTATTAAGAAATAGCTAATCAAGTAGAAGGAATCGGGATTGGCTAAAAAGAAGAGGGCAGAAAGGTTTTAGCACCAAAAATGTCGCTCCTGTTCTGCAGGGGCCATTCAGCCTTTTTTTTTTTTTTTTCTTTTTGCAGGTACCAGCTCTTGATGTCCATGAAACTGGACAAAGATTGACTCTTGCTGCTTAAGCCACAGGACTGCCTGGCTTTGCCTAGCAGCACTTCCAGAGGGTACATTTAAGCAGAAGGTTGGGTTTGGTGGACACTTTGCGGCACATGTAACTACAGCCATTGGCTATGGGGTGTTTATTCACCTTTTTCATTGTGTTCGCATTTCCAGGTGCTGACCTGCACAGGTGCAAGCTTGGAGAAATGCCCAAGGAGGTGGCACATGTCTTCTGGGCTGGGAGAAAAAGGTTTGGCTAAGCGCGAGAATGAGCCAATTGGTTTGTTACAGCAGGATAACTGCTGTCCCCACAGCTTAACCGTGGGGGATAAACACCCCTTTGGCCTCGGGACCTCTCTTGTGGTTAAGAGAGGTCTTCAGAGAGGCAGCCCTTTAGGTTTTCCAGTTGAGCAGGAGAAGACGACCTGGAGGTTGCTCCATACTCGAGGCTCCTTTGCAGCACTCCTGCGCACCGTCTGTCCCATTTCCACTTTGGAAAGCATCTCACCAGAGTACACCTGATAATTACAGCGTGGTAACCTGCACACCTATTTACAAAAGGAGGGCTGCAGGCAAAGGCAGGAGGGACAGGGGGAAAGGCTAGTGGTCGGGGCAATGCTCAGCCCAGCACCGTCCCTGCGGCCAACTCCAGCTACGCAAAAGGCCCTTGCTAATCAGGGATGAGAGCCCCGTCACCCTGGGCACATCTGCTGTAACCAAGGGTGGAATATCCCAAGCCTGGATTCACCCGCACCAAGATGGCGAGGCTGCTCAGAGCGACACTGAAGCAGAGACCCCTCGGTGCTGAGCCATCTCCCACTCCCCTGGATCAGGGCAGAGAGGGAAAACCTGCCCGTGCACCAGCCCCAGCTGCGCACCGACTCCAGCACCCCCCGCTCCGCACCACCCGCGCCCCCCGCACCTTGCACCGCCGCCGGGGCGCGCACCAGCCCCAGCCGCGCACCGGCTCCAGCCTCCCCGGCCCCTAAACACAAACACACACACACAGACAGACAGACAGACACCCCCAAGAACCCCCCGGCCCCGGCTGACCTTGATCACCTGCTCCTTGACGATGAGGGGCCCCGCCAGCAGCAGGCAGACCCCCAGGAGGGCGCAGACCGCCCCGGCCAGCGCCAGCCCCACCGACAGCCTGCGCCGAGCGGCGGGCCTGGGGGAGGGCCGGCAA